AGATAAATTGTGTCATCCACACTTGTGTACTGGCAATATTCATGGAGTGTTGGGGCTCTTGGCTGGTGCTCAAGAGAACGGTGTGCTGGACTCCTCTGGACTGAAAAATGAACAGGAGTCAAGAGAAAAGTGTATCTAATCTCAGTTGCAACACTAATTTCTTGAATTTTGTGAAGGTGTTTGTCTCCATCCATACCACAGGCTGGAGAAAACTCCTTCTGCACTTGGTGTTACAGTGGTGTAATGAGGAAACCTGGACTTCAGCATGTGCCTACATGCACTTAATAACTTTATCTGATACGCAGGGATGATTTCAGTATTGAAGGTCAGAATTGGAAAAATTACTTCCTCAAACAATCTGGTATTTCCTGCTAGTATTGTTTTTAGTTAAAACCCTACAGTGACCATTTAAAACACAAATTATGAAGAATCTCATTTACAACAATAATTTCTTTTATATTTGACTTGTATATTCTACTTAATTCCACAGTACTCAGCTTTCCTATTTCTGCTCTTATGGTTGCTGATGGCACTTGCTAATGGTGTCTGTCTTTGGTTTTTCTAGGCCTGTGGACTCACAGAAAGAGACATTGCTACAATTAAATTATTGAATGAAACTAGAGATATGCTAGAAAGGTATAGAGAAATATGCTGTATTCACATTAAACTCCTCAAAACTATTGTTTATGTAAGACAATTGCTTCCTTACAAAAAGCTGGCAACTTTTCATTTGAGAAATGTGACCATTCTGCATTAAATTTTTCTATTTATCAGTTGTAGGCTGGGATTATTAAAATTTATGAGCTCTGAAACTTTTAAAGAAATTATGCTGTCTTAATGAGATACCCAGAATGTCCTTGGCAATCAGACCTGTTATCTCTTCCTTACCCACTCTGTAGTAATGTAGGAACAGAGGAGTACTTCTCTTCTGCTAAAGCAGGGTAAATTGAGAGTAATTGTATAGGATTTACTTGCTTTGATGAAGTGAACACCAGTTTTGGCTTATCGGAATTTATTTTTAATGCATGGCTTTGAGAGTGGTTGTATGTGCCCATTTACCAGAGAGCTGGTTAAAGTGAGGCTCCTATGATAAACACAGGATATGAGGGAATTGAGGCAAATGTCAAACTATTCTTACAGTTTGGCTACTAGGGATGTGGGGCACTTCACGGTTAAATCCCTTCTATGTTATTACTTAGTAAGAAATAGAAGTGAGAAATGCTTCAGGTTTATCTGGGTTTTAGTAATCTTAGGGCAGAGTTCAGGTTGTTGAGGGAGCTGGTGTTTCATGAGGTGGCAATGCTAGTGGCATTTGTCTGGCTCACACATCACCTGTGAGGGGAGGTACACCTATAGCACTGAACACTTGCACAGCTTTTTAGTTTGAAAAAATTTAAACCCAGGAATAAAACCTTTTTTCCTATTATTCTTTCTTCTCAGTCCAGACTTCAGTACAGTTTTGAGCACATGTTTAAATAGAGGATTCAGTCGGCTGCTGGACAATATGGCAGAATTTTTTAGACCTACTGAAAAGGACCTTTCTCAAAACAGCTCTGTAAATAGGTAAATATTTTCTTTTGTTGTAGTTCTCATGTCAGTAATGCTTTGGCTTCATAGTGAATTCCAAAAGGGCTCTTGATTTTCCTGCCTTCTTGGAGTTCTTGTGCTGGAAATATTGTTCTGCTTCTTACTCTTCAAAGATCACTGGGTTCTCCTCACTTTGGCCAAGTAGGCAGCTAGGAGGATTCATGTTTCCTCCCACCCATGAAATCACTAGAATTAGGTGACATTCTTTCCCACCATTACTTGCACACCTAAAAGTAGAGATCAGATGACCTGTGCCCACCTCTTGCCTGGCTACAGGCAGGCTGTCTTTTGGGCTGGGGAGGATTCTCCTTGTGCTGGTGACTCCTGATAGATGTGCCCAGTGAGGCTGGGAGAAGGAGAGCCCTCCCTCCCTCCCTCCCCTTTGGAGCTCCAAGCCCCCCAGCTTCCATCAGTTCCTGTGGCTCCCAAGGAAGGAGGGTGGGCAGTGCTCTGATCATCCAGTAACAGGGAGCCAAAGCTGCCATGGAGCTTTAGGTTTCACTGGTATGCAGATAAAATGCAGTAACATGTAGGATTTTCTACATCCTCCTAGAAGAATGTCTAAAAATAGCTTTTAATCTGAAGCTAACTTGAGTTTTAAGCAGTGTGGTGAGAGCATTACAAATTCAAAAGCTGAGTTCAAATCCTTGAAATAATCTTTCCCAAATATTAAAATTAAAACCTGGAATGATAACTGGGTTTATGTATGTTTATTGTAGTAACTTGGCTTTCAGAAAGTTATGTTTTAATTTAAATATATACTATTTACATCACTTAAAATACCCCAAAGTGTGTAGTTTGGCTATCTGCCTAAGTCTAGTTTAGTTTGAAATAATGTGAAATTGTAGACAGGCACTTCCATGAACTGGACATGAACTACTTACATACATGCAAAGACTCTGACTAAACCATAATACTCTTGCATGAGAAGCAAGTGTGAAACTGTAATAGGAATGTGGACTGGAATTGAAATGGTACTTCTCTATATTAAAGGAAAACCTTGCTATGGAGAAAAATCCCTTCATCCATACATTTTAGTTTGCAGTCTTTCAATTCTTACTTTTTAAGTGTAATTACTTAGAATTATATAATCACTGTTTAGTGGCTTCATCTGTGTCTGAGCAGGTATTTTTTGTTCTTTCCTAGTCTTTCCAGTGTCAGTCTTCCTTTAGCCAAGATAATTCCAATAATAAATGGACAGATCCATTCAGTATGCAGTGAAACACCCAGTCACTTTGTCCAGGTAAGAATCTGCCTTATTTACAGTATCCCAAGTAAAATCTTGAAATTAATGTTGTGTATTTCTTCTTAATAATTGTTCCATTTCAGTGACTTAAACAAATAAATTGAAAACAGTTGCCATAACAAACTTTTTGTCAATTTGTATCTTCCAAAAATACACTGTTTTTTATAACTTTCTTCTGCTAAACTGCACAGAAGCACAGACTTCTGGCCTTGGTTCTACTTGCAGGTCTGCTCCTAAAGCAAGAAGTTTGAGTTGTGCCTATGGGAGTGCCAGGTGCTTTTCTTAGGAATTCTGTACTGCAGTACAGGCAGAATAGTGGGGAATGTGTTTGATTAAGGAAGTTTATTTTATTCATTTCTTCCAGGACCTGTTGATGATGGAACAAGTGAAAGATTTTGCTGCTAACGTTTATGAAGCTTTTAGTACCCCTCAGCAACTAGAGAAATGACCTGCACATTTTTACAAATGGATGGTGTATTTCTAACAAATCCCTGGTGACTACTGATGAGACTTGGGTTAATTTTATAATGGTGTAGGAGTGGCAGACCAGCAGAAAGAGCACTCTGAGGAAAGTGGGAGTGAGCCCACATTTTCTTCTAACTGAATTACACTTCACCCATTAAAAATATTCTTGTTGAAAGAAACATGGTAAATGAAAACTTTTCTATTTAAAAAGTGGTTAAACTCTTCTGTAATTCATTGGATTATTTTTTATTGCATCTAAAAGGCATCTGGTGGCAGTATTACAGCAAGTTACTAAAAACCCATTTTTTTGCCTGGGGTATGTAAGTTTGGGGAAGAACTAATGATAGTGATCTAAGAATAGCACCGAGCAGCAGAATGAAGTAATGCTTTTTTCTTCTTCTTCCCCCAGATTTTTCTTTCTATAAAGTAAATCTTTTTTCCCTTAACTTTACAAATCTTGTTCCAAAGTGTCTCATTCTTCAGAAAGCCTTTGCCAATGGATGCATGTTCCCCTTGAACAAGCTGGGGGTCTGCTCTCTCTGTTACTTAATACTAAAGGAATGTGGTTTTTTAGACATACTCTTGTTTATGCTGTTCAAACAGCTACACTGTACACATTACCTTGTAAATATTTTATCTTAATTTGTATTAATTTTGAACCCAATTGTCTGTATTGTAATAAAATATTTTAATGTACAATTTGTGTGTGTATTAACATTATTAGGAAAGAGAATAACCTGACTGGCCAATCAACTCAAAATCCTGGCAGAGTTGAAAGAATAAATTTAACTTATACAGTACTTAATTTGCACTCACAAACATTACTCAGGGAAAATAAATCTTCAGTCTCTACATTGAAACAGAAATAATTCATGCTTTTTGTTGTCCTTTATCTCCTCCTCTTTGCAAGTTTCACCTTGTATGTCTATCCCTACAAATCATGACACATGATGAGTTTGGAAATTTTTCAAGTTGGATGCAGTCTACTCTCTGCTTAAAATGTTGTCTCTTTGCCAGAGTTCACGATCCTTAGCAACTCCTGATTATTTCTCTTTTTCAAGAGTTAGTCACTGAAGTATATATTTTGTTTAATAGTCCACGGAAGGCACCTGGTAACTGTGTATAAACAAAGGGTGTAAACAAGAGACAAGTTTTACCCATGTAAAATCATACAAAATATCAAAAACCCAACCCTCTCCCAGTTCACCTGTGTCCCAATAATGGATGGAGTTACTCAAGAATAGGAACATGTACAATTAATGACTTCCATGCTGAGAAATTATGATGTATGCATTTATGATTAATTTCTAACCCTTACAGGCCTGTTCTTGCAGACATTACCCTATTCAGCTGAAACTGCCAGCTACTACTAGCTAAACACACCTGGAAAAAGAATATTTTTTCTCTAAAACGGTCAGATTTTACTGTGCACTTTTGTGGAAGGTAAATTTCTTGCATTAAAGAGGGTGTACAACTGAGTTATGTGCATTTGAACACCAGCTTGAGCTTTATTCCTTCTTTGTCTCTGAAAGTCTAGTGCCTGTTTCCCCCCACCTCATTCTTCATGTATCTTGGTCAGAAACTGACTAAACCAAGTGTAGAGGTAGCTGCTTAATATTTCACACAAGTTCAGAGAAGCAAACTGTGTTCAGAGGATCAATTATCTAGTGCTAGACTTCGTGAGGTTTGTTCCATTCCATCCTTTCATAACAGCCCACCTCTCATAGAAAAAGTGAATTTATTGGTCTCTCTCGGTCAATCAAGTTTAAAACCAGTGATAAGAAAGAGCAAAGCATCAGCACTCCCTGCTAGCCAGGGCTCCAGCAGAGTATGGCTCAGTCTACATCAGTCAGTTGTAAGGTCCAGCCCCACTGACATGGCATTTGCTGAGGAGTCAATTGAGGTAGAGCAATAACCATTCCCTTTTCTCCCAGGGCAACCCATTTCAGCAGTTCCCTGTATCCAGCCAGCTTCACCTAAAATAGAAACACACACTATAGTTAGAACAGTGCCTTCTCAAAGTACATATAAGTGCAATATTGACAAAGTAATTATTGATCCATAGCTACCTTACTCACCAAGTATCCTAAAAATGCCACTTACTTACCAAATGAGGGATAATTATTAAAGGTAATGGGAAAACATTTGCAAGTAGATATGCAAGTAAAAAAGCTACTCATGTTGGGTCTTGAGAAGGACGTAGGGCTGTATGATGTGAATAGATATCTTTTGGAAGCATTTGGAGTAGGATTTAGGTCTAAGCAGAAATCTAGCAGCTACAGTACAGAGCTTTGCATTCCCTGTTTCCACACTGCCTGCTTCCCATGGTAATACTTGTAGTCTTGAAAGAGCATGACTGTTTCTTACAGAGGGCAGCCAGGTATCTCAGAGAAAGCTGATCTGAGGAACTAAAAACCACAAATAGGTTGATGCTGTCACTTACACCAGCTGGTGACCTGCTGGAGTGGTTGCAGACCAGTCTCTCTCTGCTGAGGAGTAGTAGTTTCTAGTGCACATAGAGTCTACCTGCCCCCCTAAATTTCCAGAGGCATCTCCATCACTTCTGAAATTACTCTCTCTTCCCTATCACAGAGCTGTCTTGGCACCAATCAGACTACTTTCATATGGAACTAGACCAGAAGGGGCAGTCCAGAAACACTCCTAATGCATTTCAGCAGCTAATGGACATGCAGTGCATGAGACCAGAGCAGAGCTAAACCAAAGTGAATCTCCCTTAAATGCACAGAGTTGATACCAACTTCTGCTTCCATTGGATTACTTGCTACTTGCCAGTGTAGGTGTGGCATCACTGTCCTCATCTTCTGACCTCCACTTGGTGTAAGATGCAAATCCAGGGTAACACTGATTGCTCTTCAGCCTCCCTGGGCAACAAAAACCTCTGTGTACATCTCCTTCCTGCAAGGCTTTGACTTCAAAAGCTGCACCACTACAGCAACTCCAGTATCACCAAAGTCATGAGGACAGCTGCTTCTAAAGAAAAGCCATCTTTATGCTGAGTTAGGAGTCTACACAGGAAACAGGAGGGGTGGCCCAGTTTTTTTCCCCTGCTCCTTGGCCTCTTTGTGATTCTTAGTTTGCAAGCTAAAACATATCCCAGCAACATCTCAGTCTAAGAAACATCCCACTGAGAGGACTATGACAAGGAGGTCCCAGAAAGAAAACAAACATTTGGCTGGATCTCTTCCAAAGTACTCTGTCCTAAGAGCTATGCATTCCCAAAGATGTCAGAAGCTAATAAATGAGATGGAACATGGCACATCCTAGAAGGAGGGGAGGGGTGTGTGTGTGTGCACTCTCTTTTACCTGTGTTTTTCCAGGCTTAGCCCGTGGCTCACCAAGTTCCAGAATCCCAGAGACTGGCCAGTTAAGGAAAATAGCATTGACTTTCCCTTCTTTAGGGGTGAAAGTGTACCTGGTTGGAAATGGGGACCAAAAAGGCATGTCAGCTTTTCCCTGGAAATCTTTAGAAGTGATACATAAGAGTGCTTTCAAGACTCTGGAAAAATGGATTAGAAAGGTCAGGATTTATTACTTTTCACACACATAACCACCTGGCCCTTTAATAATGTGCTGTTCCTCAAAAATTTGTTTCAACATAGTAGAGGTAATGAAAACTATTTAAGAACTGAATTCAGAGGTGAACATCTGTTGTAACTTTAGCACACTGTATCAACTCAGCCATAGGAAGGAAGGAGATACTTGCAGGATGGGGAATCATTAACAGCTAACTGTAGGTTATATTCAGAAAGACATGGTAACTCCCATCTATACACTAACATGCAGACTAAAAGAATTTAAAAATAGTATGGGCAAAAGAGTTTCCACTTTGCATAGCTAGTTTTTAAAAATACTATTTTCATCACTATACCATTGGAAATCTTGTGGCATACCCCTGAAACATTCCTCCCTCCTTCCTGTTTAGTTACAGTTTTTTATTGCTCTTGAAAGGGATTTTACTTAACAGTCAACACTTGAGCATCTCCAGGCTAAAGCCAGATGGCCAAATCTTGCTGGGAATGGGAATAAAAACATACACTGAGACAAGAGGGCTAAGACCAAAACCCTGATGGATCATGAAGATGTTAGAGAAGCTGCAAGTAACAAGGGCAGAGGGGAGGCCAGAGACTGACTGTAATTTAGCAACCAAATAATTGCTGTTATCTTCCCCCTTTCTAAACACCAAGTGACATTGAGCATTCCTTTGTTCAGATAAACACTTCATAACAATCTTGTATTTCCAGATTTTTTTTTCATTTCTGTTGCCCACTAGAAGCAAACAGAATTACCTAATAGATTAGCCTACACCAAGAAGCAAAAGATGACCATAGGAATGCTTGCAGCTTTTCTTTCAGCCTCAGCATCATCCCAAAACCAGTCTCTACCTACAGCTTTATACAACATTTTAGATGCAGTTGCTTACACTAACAAAGGCATTAATTCCTTCACCACATACAAACTAAGATGGTGATTTCTGTAGCATCAAGTCCTTAGGGATTTCAAAGCTTCACATAACATTGGTGCTGCTTTCCAGAGCCTGCATTTAGCTCAGTAGACTTACCAGACTCCAGGTGTGACAGTGTCGTTCTGTGCTCTCCACGGCTTTGTTCCATAGATGGCCTCTCCATTGACCCCCAGCCAAGAGCCCACCTGCCTCAGGCGCTCCTCAAACACAGAAGCGATGCGACCGTCGTGGGTGGGCCCGATATTCATCAGGAGGTTTCCTCCACAAGACACTGTTTCTGCAAGTTGCTGAAGTGTTTTTAAACACACAGAGCACATGGTTATGAGTAATGAAATCACATATTTGCTTTCTAAAGTCTGCTGTACTGCTTCAGAATGATAAGCCACATGAGTTATGCTAATGCTGCAAGCTGAGACTTAGGGGTTCATCCCAAAAGTTAAAACAAAATTTAAGCTCTCATAAAACAAAGCTCTACTGTCAATTTTTACATCCAAAACCAGCCCCAAATACCTTCTTGCACCAATATGTCTGCCTGAATCTAGATTAGAATCAGATCCTGCAACTCTTTATCATTTCAACTTCTGCAAGAATGTATTGAGGGTTTTACTAATAGGACAGATGACTTCTCTGCACCAGAGTAGAATAAGGTAAATAGCTGCTACTTCATCTTTATTGAATCTTAGAAAAGCAACTTCGTCCTTCCTCCTGTTTGACGCTTTATAGAAACATCTGTAAAACACAGGGAAGCCTCCTACAAAGCCTACAAAATTTGTGTTTACATCCACACTGCCCTCCAGAGATCATGGACTGAGATGCATAAGTCTGAGAAACAGATGGCTGTACACATGCTGCTGAATTAATTCAAACCTTCTGCCTCTGAAAAGAGGTAACGTCAATTTCAAATTGTCTTTTGTGAGGACCCACTAGAAACAGCAACAATATTAAGCAACAGTAACAATCTTTCCCTTACCACCTGAAGTTTGCAACTGAATGCATTATTCTGGAAGACAGATCAGTCTTCCTTTCATTCAGTTTTCCTAAGATTCAGATCTTTTTTAATACCTCAGCCTCGTAAGAGAATCAATGTTTTAACAACATCAGCAGTCTGCTTTTGGTAGTGTTTATCTGTATGTTCTGTAAGGAAAGTTTCTCTCTACAAAGTAAAACTACTGCTGAGTCATAAACTGTTTCTATCTGTAGAAAGGGGAAAAGATGTAGCCTTCCAGCAGGAGTTCCTAGACAGGTGCTGTGAAACTGCAAAGATGCAAAGGGGAAAAGATGTAGCCTTCCAGTAGGAGTTCCTAAACAGGACCTGTGAAACTGAAACTGTTTGCTTCCCATCAGCTTGCCTATGCAATTACCCAAGAAATTTAGTTGGAAAGGTAATGATGAGACACTGTCCGGAGCAGTCCTTGGCCAGTTAGTCACAGGGAAAACAGCTTACAAGAAACTGAATTTCTACTAGAAATTCATTCTATGGAAACAACTAAGAGAAAGGTTAAGAATTACATGGGTTTTCCATCCTGCCAGCGTTAAGGCTGGAAATTAACAAAATTATTTATTGTTTCATGGATTCACTATTGACTTTAAATCATCTTCTCCATAAAAATAGATACACAATGGATATGTTAAATAGCACAATGTAACAATCAGGAGAGAGAACGGGGAGCGGCAGCAGCTGCTGTGGCCCCGTACCTTGACCAAGTCCTCGATGGGGAGATAATCCCGCAGCCGCGCGTCCCGGCGGTAGCCCCAGGAGCCGCGGTCGATGGTCATGCAGTTCTCCCACTTGCGGGGCAGGAGGCGCCCGGGGTTGTAGCGGTCGCTGCACGTGTAGAAGCCGCCATGGGCACAGATGCTGCCCGCGCCCCAGCGGTCATTGGTCACCACTGTGTCCCGCACCGGGCTGGGAACAGAGCAGTTTTATTATTTTTATTCCGTGAAACGCGGTCACAGCCAGTGTGATCCCTTCCCACACACATCATTCCCAGGAACTAACATTTTGGATGACTTCTGTACTATTAATTTATTACAATAAGATTAAGTGCAACGTCAGGAATTCTATTCTCATGCTTTGCTAATAAAAGGTCCAGATCAGAATTTCTTAGGGAAATAAGTTCCAGACTAACAGGAGCTCTGCCAGAAATCCCTCTGCACTTCATATCCGCTGCCAGATGTTCAGCCTGTGATGACAACGATGTGCCCATATTCTCAAATTGTCCTGCTATCCTGTGTTTCTGCGCAACAGCAAATACTTAGGGAAGAGTGTGATTAAGCAGAATAGCCAACACCATTTTAAATTATTAATTTACAAATGTGTTTAAAAAATACAAAACAGTCTTTTTCTAATGCCAGCTTTGATAGTTCTAGGAAAGATCTGGATACTGTATTTCAGGAGAGTTAATATTTTTTAAAGTCCTTTTAAGCAGAAGTAGCAGGTTCCAAAAAACAAACAGAAAATGAAACAAACTAGACACAGCAGAATTTCAGATAAGGAGCTAAAGCAGCATCATTTTGTACCTGTCATTATACAGCCAAGCCAAGAAACCAGTGCTGTTCCAGTAAGTATCTGGAGCATTTCCATCCCCATCAGACCAAATTATTTCTGGCTGGTACTTGGTCACAAGTTCATAGAGTTCTGGTAATGATTTGCTGGTGGGAAACTTGCTTGTGTTAAAGGCATTGGTGGCATCCTCAAGGAAGAGAGGATTGAACCATTCAAACAGGGAATGGTATAACCCAAAATGCAAGTCAGTCCTGTTTCTAACAGATGTTGCTAGTTCAGCAACAAGATCTCGCTTTGGTCCCACGTCAACAGCATTCCAGTTCCAAGAATATTTGGATCCCCACAAAGTAAAGCCTAAAAAGAGAAAAATCAGAGGATAAGAAAGAAAAGAAGAAGCGAGGACATTACAGTTCTTTCTGGAAAGTGGTTGGAAGTGTTGCAAAAAATAAAATAATAAAAATTATATCTGTAACAATATTGTTGTTATGGTATAAGGTGTGCCTATAACCTGTTTATGCACAAAAAAGGTAGTAGTTTTAATATCAGAACACCGTGTATTTTTATATGTATGCATATACATTTATATTTTCCAGTTCTGTACTGCTTAGGATAATTATTCCTTCTCTTTAATTATTCAATCTATTCATATGTGCAAATTAAATGAACTAGATGACTTTTAAGGCCCCTTCCAACACAATGCATTTTCTAACTCTACAACTCTGAAATTACCCAAAAATACAGCAGCTTTTGAGGCATCTACATCAAATGTGAGCTGTAAATACACAATCAGCAAGTGAAAGATAGAATTATTTCTCAGCTGCAGAATGCCCAAGCTATCATTTGCATTCAAAGACTGTTCTCTTTTCTGTTTCCATCTTATGCAAATGTTCACTTTTTGTTTGCCTTGATATTTATAACAGCTCAATCAGCTACTCTGTACATGTATGAGGAGAGAGCAAAAACTCCTGAAACAGCTGTTAAAACATCAAGATTAAATCTCAGAAGGGATTTGACCTTTCAGACATCCATCAGTCCAGCACAACCACCTACAAGTACTACTGCACTGCAGACTCAGACCACTGCCAGAGGAGCTCCCCTCTCACCTTCTAACCCCTTTATAATCACTGTCTAATCAATCTTGTGCTATTTCTGTGAACTGGATACATGCAATTGTATGGATTAAACAACTTAAAACTTAAAAATTCATGCACAAGGCTATTGGACAGACTAAATGAATCCTGGGTTTTTTGAAGTCACTGGGAATTTCACCACAAGTGAAATTCAAGATCAGAATTATGTGTGTCAGAGCTGAGATTAAAATTGACACTTCACAAGTTGCCAGCCTTGAACCCACATCTCAAAAAGATGAACAACATTCATTAGATGTATTGTAGAATATCTTAATATTTTATACTTTCTTTGCTAGTGTAGTTCCTTCCAGAAGCCTTCTTTTTCTTTACTTTTCTCTGCAAAGTACATTACAATTACAATGCTAAAAAAAATAGTGCCTGAAAAGCTACAGAACTGGTTCAAGGTTTTGGCTTCTGTTCACTACATCAGGAAGAGCTATACCTTCCTAAATCTGAAGTTTGACTCCTGCAACATGTTCCTAAATTCCTTGGAGAAACCAAGGGAGTTTGCTAACTGCCTGCTCACAGCAGCTCTCCAAATATTAAACAATGCAGAATTCACTTTTATGGTTCCTTCAGCAATAAACTGCACAGAAACAAAAAATAAACTGTGGCCACTGCAGGAAGCTCAGCTGCCACCACCACTTCAGGCTGTCTTACCTACAGCAAGAGAACAGTGGCACAATCTCCTGCTCCTCCATGGCCACAGCTTTTGTGTAAAGGTCAGGAAAACACCTGCACATCTCTTGGGGGATTTTTGTTTCCTCTTTGGCTGTGGTGGGGCAGGTAAGCCTGCCTGGCTTTCTCTGTCTCTTAGAAGGTAAAAAAGTCACGTGTTTTTTACATCTGTTGACAGAAATACAGCAATTACTAACATTCACAAAGCTTCCACTTACCCTCATGATGTTTTGAAGTTAAGACAACGTATTTTGCACCTGAAGCCTTCAGAATATCTGCCCACTGGTTGGGATCAAAGAATTCTGCTGTAAACAGAGGACCAAAATCTTCATAGCTGAAGCCAGGTGGGTAATTTGCATCCATAAATTTCACATAGGGCTCTCTCTTTTCCTTCTGCCAGTACCACCTACAAAATACAGAACAAAGCATGTCTGCTGATGTATTTTTTGGCAAAGAAAAGAGAATTTAAATGATCAGCTCCTATTCAACACTGAGAGGTAGAGGCATTAGAGGTACATGACACAGGTGATAAGATGAAATTGTTCCAGAAGAGTATTGATTAGCAAAGATTTCATTTTTTCTATCTTATTTGTCCATGTTCTACATCTTTGTACTCCACTTTGGAAAGGTCTCAGAATTTCATTTGAAGCAATGAAAAAAGCAGCTACACTTTGAGAATGGAAAAATTACAGTGCTGGTCAATACCCAAATCTCAAAACTGTACTAGACACCACGGACAGTTTGTGTAAGCAGCTCAGGTGACAAGAGAAATGCATTTTTCCTGGACTTGCATGTCTCACCTCCTCAAGTCTCACACCTCAGCCATCAGGCATCTCTGCTCTGCCCCCAACATTGCAATCTCTGCCACCCACAAATATGGGTTTCACCACCTTTACCTCTCTGACAGTCCCAAGCCCTCTACACAACCACAGCTGAGTGACCCAAGGTCCCCAGCCCCAGGGCCAGAAAGCTGAGACCAGGTCACTGCAGGCTCTGCACACCTGAGGCCTGCAAGCAAAGCCACCCTGCCAGAAGAAGACACGTCCTCCATCCAAAACCTGCCCCTGCACACCACACACTCACAAATGCACCTCTGTCACCTTTCTATCAATGAAACCAAGCAGCAAAAATCCTCTTGTCAAATTTAGACTTACATGAAAATAGATTGGAAAGTGAAGGAATAAAACAGGCCAGAATTTGAAAGTTTGAAATTTCTCTCTCCCATCCTGAGCTGGACTCTGACCTCAGTTCTCTGAGATCACAGTGTGAATATTGTTATAACCTTCCCAAAAACACTTCAGCATAAACCAACACAATCTCTGGCAGCCAACAGGGGAAAAAAACTTAGAAGAAAGAGGCTGAGACAGCTTTCCTCATTGAAAGAGCCAGGGGCAGAGGAAATAACAATAAAGCAAAACAAATTTTTAAAAATAAAAACAAAAAACCCTCTGATTTCAAAGTATGTAATTTCTTAAATTAAAAAGTAACAACCTTGCTTCTCTCCCATAGTCACATGGTTTGCTAACATGAACACTTCCATGCTGACAGGATTAGATTCTAGAAACATCCTGACCAAGGCTGGGGAGCACTGAGGGAAGGCACACAGGATGGGTGATAACAGTTTGTGACCTTCCATTTGATGCTGCTAATGCAGGACCTCAGTCATCTGACTGCACAAGCTGTCAGAAGGCCCTGAAGCAGCTCTGTCGTGGGATAGGAGAATACAGGAATATAAAAAACAATTCGAGTTTTGGGGTCAAAAACCAAATGCTCCATCCTGAGCCTGTACACCACTATCAGAGTACAGCACTCTGAGTGAGGCTTGAACCCGAGCCTAGTTCTGTCCCAGCTCTCTAAAAGTAATTTATTAGTAAATGTAGTTTGCATTTAAAACCTGCTGAAACACTTGACCCTAATTCTGAAAAGAACAGGTGTCAGAAACCATTGGTTTGATTAGATACATGTTGGTTTGTTTTGCAAATATAGTAATTAAGGTTTGCCACAGCTCTGCCATAAAGCTACCCTTATCTTCATATTGTAAATAATAATGTGTGTCACTTGCAGTCTCGCAGGAAGTACCTGGTAGAGCATGGAAAGGTGAAGGAAAAACATGCTTACAGCTAAGGGGCTTGAACCTGTGAACACTCATGGTACACAGATTTCATCGAGCCTCTGAACTAAAGTTATCTGAAGGATCAGAGTTTTAGGTTGTCTTAAGTGCAAAGCACTCTTAAATAATAGTAATAACGGTTAAAAAAAAAAAAAAAGAGAGAAGAAAAGCATCAGCAGCACAGAATATGCACACAAGAACACAGCAAGGCTGCTTGCCAGGTAAGGGTAGCGATGGGCTCTGCGCTCCCCACAGAGCTCCAGCAGGTGCACAAGGCCGCTCCAGGGGCTGGCAGATCCCAAAGGAATCTGTCCCCACAAGGGAGACCCCCTTCACCCATCCCTTCATGGTGGTCCTGGAGACGGCACTTTCACTCACCCCACCAACCACCTCTCCCCAGCACTGTTGTGCTGCAAGGTCCTTCTCTCAGCTCTACCAGCTCTCTGCTTGATTTAGTCACTTCAGCCTGGGTATTCGGGACTTTTGGGGCTGGGCAGACAGGTGCTCAGACACACCAGAAGCACCTCCAACTCCCCTTCCTCTGCAAACTGCGCCATGGAGTCCGTGACTCGGGTGGGCACGGAGTTCTTCCCACACACCTGAGCTCCAGGGTCAGCCTGCAGAGGGGCTCCAACCCAAACCTCCGCTGTCCGGGGGGCCACCACACCATCCCCGCCTGCCCCGAGCGCTGCTTCCCAAGCAGAGCCCTGGGCCCGCCGGCACGGCCCGTCCGCCGCGGCGGTTCCGGTGCGACCGGAGCGCTCTGGCTGCAGCTCACCAGAACCACTCGCTGCCGAAGCTTGGCACCGAGAACACGCCCCAATGGATGAAGACGCCGAACTTCGCCTCGTCAAACCAGGCGGGCAGCGGCCGGGCGTCCAGCGAGCCCCAGGTGGGCTGGTAGCGGGGCCGGGCCTGCGGCAGCCCGGGCAGCCCCAGCAGCAGCAGCAGCAGCAGCGCGGCGCCCCCGCCCGGGCCCGACATGGCGGCGGCGGGACCGGAGCTCGCGGCGGTTCTCGGCCGGGCCGGGCCGGGCTGGGGAAGGGAAGGGGAAAGAAGAGCGACACGGGCAGGGCGGGCCCCGCGGCCCCTTCGCTCCTCCCCCGGCCCGCCCGCCGCCCGGGGGCTCTTCCCCATCGGAGCCGCTCCATCTGACTGCTCGAGCACAAACTACCCCCTGGATTTTAGGGATTTAAAGAAATTGAAGTAACTGGCTGATCCCTCGGCCGACATCCCGCCGTGCTTTCCCCCGCCCCGCTGGCTCCTCCCCCCAGAGCGGCCTGACGGTGTCCCCTGGATCTGCGGCCGGAGCCGGGCCGGGCCTTGGATCTGCGGCCGCTCCGCTCCGGCGGTGGCCTCGGCACCTGCTGGGTCTGCCCTTCCCGCCTGCTTCCGAGCACAGGCTCAGCTTCCCCCGTCCTCCCAAGAAGGACACGGTGTAACATCGCTCTGCAGCTCCTTCCAGCCGACTTCTACGTGGAGGCTTCCTGTGCAGAGAGGTGGCCCAAAGCCTGTCAAGGAAACATTTCTCTCTTCCATCATTAGCATGGCCTGTGCGGAAGCTGCCTCGGTTCAGTAGATGGCACTTGGCGTTTGTGCTGCAGATCACAGGTAGCAGGCACATACTTTAAAAGATACATCTTCCATCAATTTGTTGCCCACCCTGGTGCTTCTCCGGTCTTTCCTGATGCCCGAATTTTGAAGTTTTACTTCACCCCCAGATGCCGTGGGATAGACTTTGTGAAATAATTCTGTTTAATCAGCAAATACTAACTTTTCATAATCAGCACCACAAATAGAAATTTCTTTGGCAATCTCATCAGAACAGTCAAAAATGAATGAAATTAATTCAGGCAACTGAATTAATCTCTCTCCAACTGAGAAGGACATATACTTTACTGCTGTTCTATGGAAGTAGAGCTTCAGTTTCCAGAGCCATTAACCACAGCTGTTACATCTAATTTAAAAAATATTTAAATGGCTGTGGAAACAAGATGTACATGATTTTGTAACTTTTTCATTTCTATACCTTGATTAAGATAATAAGTTACAGGCAGATAAAAACCATTGTGATTTCCAGCGCACTATTCTTTCTGACTGTTCACATTACTCTGATTTACTGAAGCACTTTGATATTACAACAGGAGCCTCTTCATATCTCTTTTACATTCACCATTGACCTACTTTATGTCTTCTTTTTGCTTCACTCCTTTAGGTGTCACTTTGCTTCTCAAAAGGAATCTTTAGATGCCTTTGACCTCTTGTATGGTATCCTTTCTAGTTTATCTTTCGATTTCTTCATGTTCTCCTTTTTGATTGCACCAAAGGATTGCAGACACTGAGCAGCTCCTTAATGTGGGAATTTTGAAGGATACATTCTGTACAGCATGATAAAGCTACAATTGCTCTGTAGCACAAAATGTTTGGGAAAAAAAATGATGTTAAAAAAAGGGAGAGTCTGACCCAAAGCTCGCTGACCTGCCATAAACTTTGGTGAGGTTTGGAGCAGGGACTGTATATTTCAATATTAAACTTGAACATGCCTCTTAAAGAAAAAAAAGGGAAAAGGAAAGTGGCAAACATTTCAGTAAACAACAGTGATGAGTACACTTTTGATTAAGGCATAGAGAGGTCCAGAAAATGTCACCAGCCCACACATGCCGAGGTACAGAAGTCCCTGTTGGGTAAAAAGGTCTTTGGTGTACAATCACATTTGTAATGATGCAAGCTGCAAAGGGTAAATAATAAAAATAGCACATTGTCAGATTTTGTAAATAACACGGGGCTGACGTGCACAGCTGCAGAAAGCTCTCTAAGCATGGGTACAAGATTCCTGCCCGTGTGACCAGGGAGCCTCTGGGTCCGTGAGAGGGGCTGTGAGCACGGAGCTCACTGCCGTGCCCTGCGGGAAGCCCGTGCCTCTCCTCTCCCAGCGCAGTCCCGCTGGGAAAGCTCTGCGGCTGGGGAAGGAGCAGGCTGGTCTGTCAGCAGAGGGAAGAAGGAGAGGAAATAATGAAGGCAATCCCCTGAGGGAAGCTGAGCAGAAAAGACCTTTCGACCTGACTAATGGCTGACATACGAGACTCCTGTGCCGGATCAATTGCTTCGACAAATGCGGAGGGTGACGGCTGGAAGATCACAAAACCCCTGCGCCTGGGGAGCTGCGCGGGCTCGGCATTGAGATGAGGGCACTCGCCTGCCTGGGTGGAAGCAGAAACCAGAAACTGAATTTCACGTGGACAAATTTCACACTTGATAGGTTTTGATTCAGACCTGGAGAGTCGTAGTTGTTAAAATGCAGCCTGAATGCAACTTTTACATTGGATAGCTAGATAATGCAACTCTGGATGAATTTAAAATATAGGGTGCAGTCTTTTCTGTGTTTGTCATTGTGGCTGCAGAGCAACGAGGATTTTATTCAAGGTAGAATGTAATATGACTTGCCTATAAGAAGCAGAGTGAGAATAAAATTTCCTTTTAAAGGTGCATCTTATTGTAAAAGGGTTTCTGTAAAACACCAGGAAACGAAACCATGAAGCTTGATTTTGCTTCTGCCTAGGTCTGTGTGGCTGATCTGAAAGGCAGCACCTTCCTGCCGAAGTTAGTTAAGTCTCTGACATGCAACCCAATCCTTAAGAAAGATGGGGAGGGAGGTGATGGGTTGGAGAGGATATTTGACTCGTCTCTTTCGCAGGGATGCGGTGCCTTGTGCAACTTTCCGGCTTTGCGGGGGAGAGGGCACCCTGTTACACAAAACAGAAGTGGCGGTGTGGGTTACTCGGCTCTTTTTAACTGATTCTCTTTTCCCTTTTTTCCGGTTTTTTTTTCCCCCGAGAGGTGGCAATGGCGGGAGCATGAAGACACCCTGGGGGATGGGTGCATCCGCGCACCCAGCCCCTGCTTTGCTTTGCCCCTGTGCAAACACAAAATTTATGTTCCCAGAGACCGAAAATCGCCGCCGGCGTCCCGGCGGGGCGGTCGGAGGAGAGGGGCGGCTCTTCCTCTGCAAACTTTCCCTGTCCCCTCCCTCGCCGCCGCTCTCTGTCCTCTTCTCTCCTCGCCGCCCTTCTCGGCTGCCCGACGGCGATGGCTGAGAGGCCGGGGAGCAGCGGGACGGCCTCGCTGCCCGTCTGGTCCCTGCCCGGTCCCCGCGGCCGCTCCCAAAGCGACATCTCCTCCTTCTCCTCCTCCCGGAGGACCTGCCTGCTGCGGTCCAGCGTGGGCGGCTCAGGTAAGGGGGAGGGAGGGAAGGGTCCGTGTGTCCGAGACCTCGGAGCCGAGCTGAATTTGGGGAAAGACATGCTCGCTGATACCCTGTCCTGCTCTCCCAGACGTAGGACCTGCCTTCTCTCGGTGGCCGGTGGTGTGCATTTCTGGGGTTGGCGGTGCTTGATCTTCTCCCTGATAAGATGTTTGGAGAGTTCCAGGGTTTTATACCCATGTTCACACAAATGAATGAATGGATCCTGGTAGCATCGTGGCTGCACATCCGTTTGCCAAAGCATCTCTGACTGCAGAAAAGTCTCATGAAAGCTTCAGGGTGTATTGCCAGGACATCAAAGCCCCTCATCTTGCTGCTTCACACATTACACTTCAACTGCATGTCAGGATTTTACCTGGTGCCCTTGTATCTGCTTTGGGATTTTAATAGGTGAGAAAAGCCACTGTGTAAGTCAGAATCCCACCATCTTCCTTCAGGAGTCAATCCCTGCTAGTGCACACAGGATGACTGGGGGTGGAAGCTGGCCCTTTGGGACAGAGTAGGCTTCCTGCAGGATTTGGAGAAGATTCACTGTATAAAACGAGAGGAAGTGAGGGTCCTAGTGTACAGTGCAGAGACTTGAAATCTGCCAAAGTGGTTGGGCTGTGCTTTACTCTGTCTATTTCCTGAGGTAGGGTACTAAGGAAGATGAAATTCTGGTCTCTGTAGGGCTGAGCACATTTTGAAAATGTGTGCTTGCCCAGTTGCAAATCAGCCCTTCTCTGTTGACTAGAAAAATCTGTAGGCACACACAGGCTGGTGATGTTGGTATTTTGGATGCACTCACACACTGCTGCACAGAGGTACCCGTGAAACACCATCAGGGAAGCTCCAGAGTGCACTGAGGGACCTCCTCTGCTGCAGCACAGGGCAGTGCAGTGCGTGGTTGGGCCTGAAATGGACCACAATGTTCTCTGATGTTTGTTCCTCAGGGAATCTTAAGATGAAGCAGAACATTTGCTTGGGGAAGATCAAGTGCACACATTCCCTCCTCCTGATGAGGAGAGAGGGAATGAAAACTTGCTTAGTCACATAGGAGCAAGTAGATTCAGCTTATGGGGCCAGAGGCTGCCATTTTCTGTATAATTTTCTGTTTTACCTTTTTCTGTGCCTGCTTAAAATTTATGGTGAAGGACATTTGGGACAGGGAGGAGGGAGGAGGTTCTAGTTCTTCAAAAAGGACTACTTTCAGGTATTTCAGCACCACCTGGAGAGTGCTGCATGAGCAATGCCCTGTGACTGGATGTGTGCACCCTGGATCCAGAGGGATCCCCACAGAGACTGACAAGATTGAGACCATATCAATGTAGACTCTGTTGGTTGGTGGCTGAAGTACTAAGACACGTGACAACGAGCTGAGGTGTCATTATGAGAGACTGGCAAATCTAGTGGAGGTTAAATTACAGTGTTTTCAAAGATATGTTGTTATTTGTAGTTTCTTACACATGACATTTTAGCATCCTCATTTCCTGACTTGATTTTTTATTTTAATTTTGAGGACGTGCTTCCTGCCAATAGGAAACAAGTGTTGCTTTCTTTGCTTTTAGGTTTTTTGGTCATATTTTTTAAATTGTATAATTTCTCCCTTGCTGCTTCCTGCTTGCAGTTAGTTGCTCATTGGACACAACAAAAACACTTACATATGGCCACACAACTGTTGATTCTGTCTTCAAAAAGGAAAGTATGCATTAAAGATGCAAAGTTGTTTAATGTTTAATATGGTGGTTAGAGAATTGGCTTTATACTGAGATGCCATTAAAATAACCTGCTTTTTCATTCCCCTACTAACCTGGAGAACAACTTGAATGGGGGCAGAAAAGTGAAGAAACAATATGAGTCATTGTTTTTGCTTCTACCTTTTTTTCTAGCCATATCATTTGATTAAAGTAGATGACTCATTTACATCCGATGTTACCTGTGCTCCAACAGCTGCGTGTATAGAAGAACAATTTGCATTTTAAATAACCTGCAAAATGTTTACTTTATGCCTGTTCCGAGTCTGAGTCACTTGCAACTGTTGGCAGCTTCTGTTGCATGCTTGTTTCCATTTTCTAGAACCTGACATAAATTGTGCTGAGAAGAAGTTGTCTCCTCACACTCTTCCAGTGATGGGTTGGTATCCCTGTAGAGGTTCACATTCATTTATTTTACCACTTTCTGATCCACCATTCTTCATGCAGGACCTATTAAAAGGCAGTATTTTTAGAGACCCTTCTAGCTAGGGGAAATACAATGTCTTTTTATAAAGCAGCTTTGGCAGTGGTCCATGAAATGCATCTGTTTGTTATTCTAGGTCAGTACTGTATGTATCTTGATAGTGCAGTGAGGCTGGTCTGGTGGTCCCCATGTTTATGCTCTCTGTGCTCTCTTAGCCCCACTCCTCCTTCTGCTGCTCCTACACACTGACAGAAGCAACTTCCTGGTATCACTTCACAGCATCTCACTTCATTAGCTGCTATCCAGTATGTGAGGACAATATATTTTCAGGATTTTCTTCTTCAAGCTGACCTTTCTTTTAGTGCTAGTGGTAGAAGATGATTTAATTTCTCTTTCTGGGCTATCACCTCTATCCACTGTTTTGTCAGGCCCTTTTATTTGTGCTAAGCTCCTGGGAGGAGTAAAGTGATACTCATCACGAGTATGGGTGGCATGATCTAGAATTTTGATTTAGACCCTGGAAAAGTGTAATGTTAGCAAAGTTCAAAACCTCTGTGGCAGGCATAGCTTGTGCATCACTTCAACATTGTGGTTTGCCCCAGCTGACAGCTGGCTGGTTCGTCAGAGCATCTGAAAGAGATGAGTAAAGCAAAACATACTCTTCTAAAATTTCAGGCCAACACCAGAGCCACTTGCAGAAAGCTGCTTGAATTACATACCTTTAAGCAGTCTTCCATATTTAGTGACTAGATTTAAACCCACCTTAAAGGTGGATCAATTTAGTCAAGTTTCTTAGTATGTC